GGTTGGCCTAATGACCCTTCCTGGTAAGCATGAGGACGAAGATTCCTCCTCACCTGGATTGGATTATAGATGCATACTTAACCCTGTTCAACAGTTTGTTATGAATTGTTTGACTTCTTTCTTTCTTTTCTTTTTCTCTTCCACTTTTTTGCGGATCAAGGGAAATGCGGGAGAAAACGGCTTAGTGCCCACAAAATGGGATCCATGTTTCCCAGTTGATTTCGGCTCTGGGCGTGATTCGACGGTTTATCGTGTATGGATTTGAAGCCCTTGCTCTGGCCTTTCTACCCTACCTCGCGTAGACGGCGATAGGCGAGCACCACTGACCACACTGACCGAGTCTTTCGGTAGGAGGTTGGCCGCGCCACAGCGGGTGGCGGTTGCTAAGGGTAGGCCGATGTCGGACTTTGCGAATCGCTGTTGATGCTGGCCTTAGCTTAGGGTTAGCTACATACGTGGTGATCGGCGCGCCCTTTGCAGCGAGACAATCTCTATTAGATTCCTTGCGGACCTGGCGAGCGCTACTCCTTCGGTAATTTCTTACTGGTAATGGGTATAGAATTTTCTGAATGCAATGATGTCGACTTACAAATAACATAAAAAAATGCTGAGTAAATCGAGTCAAACCATGCCCACTTGCGCAAAAATCTGACGCGCATGCGCGTCATGCTATCGTCAGTGTGTTAAAGCTATGGTGGCGCACCTACGAATGCACCAAATTGATGAAAAGTAATTTGATAGGTCACGGTAGGAACCCTTACCTTAATAGTCGCTATCAGCTTCTCTCGGTCCCACGTTCGAAACTCGTCGAGCTGCACCCCAAATTCGTTGATGAACGGGGAACGTGCTTTTATGGCTAAAATAGAAGGCGTGGGACACAGATCGTCGAGAACATTCCAAGGAGCATTTAATTTGGACTCCTTATTCGTTTAGCGCTGCAGTTTGAACGTAAACTCACTGAAAAATGCAGCCTCCTTGTCCGAAATGCCTATGATCGAGTCCTTTGGTGGTGCAGTGGCAGTCATCTCGTCCGGATCTTGTAGGAATTCACCGTCGATCACCGGACCCCACTTGACACAGTCGAGTCCAGGAGTAGTATAGCCATGAAATCTTGAACAATTAAGCTATCCCATGCAAATCCAGAAAAATCCGTTGGGAATCCTGTGAGGTAATTCTTACCACATTTTCAACAGCATCATAGATCTCTTCAACGGTCCTTTGCTTCATACAGTTCTTAAGATCACCATTGCATCCGAGTCCCTTCAATTAACATTTCTAAATCCGAAAGGTTCATTTCATTTAAAAAAATATTATGTCGCAGACGAGGTTTTTACCTCAGCAAGTTCCAAAGAGTAGGTAGGCACGTTTGGTCCCAGCGCCCAAGCCGCCCACGGCGACCCCGACATCTCGATTGATCGCGTAATGTAATCTAGAAATACAGTATTCACATGAGAAAGATTCACTCCATGCATTTCATTCTACCTCTTGACACTGGGCTGAGTGCTAATTGTCCCACGGCTGCGCCACCAGCACTCAGTCCCCAAGCAGTAATCCGGGATGCGTCGGCGCCAATATTCTCGGCATTCTCGTACACGAACTAAATTCTGAACAACTGTGAAAGTGGTTTTGAAGGCCAAATAAAAGATCAATTTGTGTTATTTAACCCACCTTAGCATTGGGTTAAAAGAGGATCCCACGATAAGTTTGGAGGTCGAAGAATGGGAAACTTCCTAGGAGAACACAGGCAGACCCCCTGATGGTGCGGCGACACGCAAAGATATGCCCCAGCGATCTAGCATGGCCTTCCCCGCTGTGCTATCGCGCTTTAGGACCAACGGCCAGCCGAGCACTCAAAGCAGTACTACGAGCCAGGGTCAAGCGAGGCGTCGAGGAAAATTCGGAAATACGACCCCCCCCCTCCCTCTGCCGAAGGCCGAAGTCCATGAAACAACCCTCTTTAAAAGCCGAACTATGAAAAAGTTGTTTAATTCTCCACCAAAACTGCTCATAAAAAAGCCCTGCTACCCCATCGTCCACAAAAAAACTCGTTTAAAAAGTATAAAAGTGAAAAAGTCAAAGAATGATCATTAATGACGAGTCCTGTCAAACGAGCAAACGGAGCAAAAAACGTCAAACTAGTCACTAGAAATGGCGTACTATGACAACACCTCTTCTTTGTTTATTTCCTCCACAAGACTTACCAAATTCTAGTACTACACAGATTATGGTTCTCAATTTACACGTCCCCCTTTCGCTCAAAGGAAGCCTTGTAAAAGCCTTCGCCAGCTGTGTGTTGACTGGACTTTGGCGTTGACCGTGGAGCAGCTTATTTACTATTGAAATTTGAACAAATATTCAAATGATTATAACTTTCTTCAAAGTTAACGAATTTTCAATCTGAAAGCTGATTTGGGAGTTTTGTGAAGAGCTTTTTCTAATCAGTACTGAAATTACAGGAAGTTATAAGAAATAACAAATTTAGATCAAATAACGAGGAAAATTCGAGACGAGCACGAGTTTTTACACTTTCCGGAGCAATAACTTGCTTCATTTCCGTCAAATTCAAAAAGTTGATACGTCATACAAAACTAGAAGATTTTCTCTATCAAACGGTCGCTAAAGCAGCTTCATACGTCCAGTACTCAAAAAATGGCCACGTTGAGGATTTTTGCAAAATTAACGAGGAAAATTCGTGATGAGTGCGAGTTTTTACGCTTTCCAAAGCCATAACTCCGTTCAAACTCATGCAATCTGGAAAGTTAATACGTCATCATAAACTAGAAGATTTGCTCTTTCTAGAGGCAACTAAAACTGCTAAATACGTTCACTATTAAAAAATGGCCACGTTGAGGATTTTTGCCCGAGTACCGCCGAAAGGTACTTTTTCGCTACATTAGCACTATCCCAACGACTATAGCTCCTTGCAGGAGCGATTACATACTGAAGTAGGAGCAGATTCAAAATCCTCGTGCTTTTCTCTCTGCAAAAAGTGTAAAATTGTTTAGCGGGTCTCAACTTTAAAGGTTACATGCTTGTGAATTTGACGCTGAAGGCTGCGTTTCTTGTTGAATAGTGTACTCCTCTCTGTAATTTAACATGAACTCTTTCAGAACCCTCTTGATTCTTCCTGAATTAAGATTCGTTATCAAGATAGCCGTAGCTGAAGCGCGCGCAACCAACTGGGCCCACTCTGGGATGCGCCGTGTGCTTCACATCTCGTTGGATTTGAGGACCTACTTGAAAGATAAAATATCCCTAGAAAACGTGCGAATTTCGGATCCTTTGACTTGTGTGGTGATGAAACACTAAAGTCACTAAGAATTGCTAAGCGGACACCTCTAAATCACGAAGATTTTGTGTGGACGGAATCAATTGTTATTGGAAATACTCTGGCCTGGTATCGATTCGATCCTTAATGTTTGTCCTCCGACGATGATCCTACTGTATCAATCGGGCCCGATCTCTCCCCAGCGGGCCAATACGACCCCCCCCTCTGTGACATGTCGAGGATTCCTCAACGCACGCTTGACCCTGCTGTTCTATAGTCCATAGCATACA